TATATATATATATATACACACACACATAAATATGAATAGAAAGATAGACATATAATCTGTGTGTATATATGTGTAGATGTATGGGTGTTGCATGCATACATATATATGCAGATATAGAACATGACCGCCAGCGCCGACACGGCCAGGGCCTCCTCCCCCCCCCCTCCCCCGCCCGCCTCGGAGACGCGCGGGCAGATGCAGAGAGAGGCCGGCTGTCATCCTATCACATCTCGCGCACAAATACCGATTGCAAGCACCGACTGCAAGTGCCGATTACAAATATCGATTGCAAACACTTCGTCAAGTCTTTCCTTACCCCGGTTTTTCTCTTTTTTTTTTTTTTTTTTTTTTTTGTTTCTTTGTTTTTTTGTGTTGATATTTCCCCCTATATCGGTTTCCTTCGGAGGGGAGACGGGGTGGGGGTGGGTGGGGGTGGGGGAGGACGGTGAGAAGGAAGGGGGATATGCAGAAAGGGGGAGAGGGAGTTGGTAAGAAGAAAGAGGATGCACATGAAGATAAAAAATAATAATAAAAAGTAAAATAAAATTAAAAAATAACAATAAAGATAATGATAATGATATAACAATGATAATAGTTATGATAATGATAATAATATAATAATGATAATAATAATAATAATATAATAAAATAATAATAATAATAATAAAAACGGAAATGAAAAGATTTTTTTTTGGGGGGAGGGTAACTGACTTTCCATTTTCTTTCTTTCTTTCTTTCTTTTTGTTTTTAAGTTTAACACTCTTTACCTCTTATTTAGGGGGGTCGTTTCTCCTATTCTATTGCACCTGTTCCTCTTTTTATTTAAATATCTGCCAAACAGTTAACCAAAAAATAAGACAAACATCACAAAAAAGCGAACAAACAAACGTATATTTTAGCGGAATAAGTATAGAGACCCCACATCTTTTTTTTTTTTTTTTTTTAGAATTCATCCCTTCTTTTTCTTTTTTCATACATACATATATATATATATATTATATATATATATATATATATATATATATATTATATATATATATATATATATATATATATATATATATATATATATATATATATATATGTATATATATATATATATATATATATATATATATATATATATATATATAGAGAGAGAGAGAGAGAGAGAGAGAGAGAGAGAGAGAGAGAGAGAGAGAGGAGAGAGGGGGGAGGGAGAGAATTCTTCAATTTTATCCTTTTCTAATCATTCTTTCAAAAAAATCTCACTCTTTTATTTTCCTTTTTTCTTTCTTCTCATTTCCTCTTCCATCCCTCTTTTTATCATCTTTTTTTCTCCCATCCCTATTTTTATCCTAATTTGTCTCCCTTTCTCTTTTTTCCTATTTCTGTCTCCCTTTCCTCCTATTCTTCTCTCATTCTCCTCTTTGCTCTCTCTCTCCCCTCCTTTACTCTCGCTTATCTCTCATTCCTGTTTCTTTTTCTTCCCTTCTTCTTCCTTCTGTCCTTATCTCCTCCTCCTTGCCTCATTTCTCCTATTTCCGTCTCCCTTTCCTCCCATTCTTCTCTCATTCTCCTCTTAGCTCTCTCTCCTCTCCTTTATTCTCGCTTACCTCTCATTCTTCTCTCTCTTTCCTCCTTTCCTTCAGCATCCTCTTTTCTCTTCCTTCTGTCCTTCTATCCTCTTCCTTGCCTCTTTTCACCTATTTCCGTCTCTCTTTCTTCTCTTTCTTCTTTCTTTCTCCTCCTTCCTCCTCCCTTTGCTCTCCATCTCTTCCCTTTCCTCGCTTTACTCCATTTCTCTTTTTCCTCATTTCGCTCTCTTTCTCCTTCTCCTTCCTCCCTTTACTTTCCTTTTTCTTCCTCCTCTCTTTACTCTCTTTTTCCCCCTTCCTCCTTCCTTTGTTCTACTCTTCCTTCCTCCCTTTACTTTCCTTTTACTTCCTCTTCCCTTTAATCTCTTTCTCCCCCCTCCTCCTCCCTTTGTTCTCTTCTCCTCCTCCCCCCCCCCCCTTTATTCTCTCCTTCCTCCTCCCTTTACTCTCTTTTCCTCCTTCCTCCTCCCTTTGCTCTCTTTCTCCCCTCCCCCCCCCCTCGAAGCCTCGGGGTCGGCGCCCCCAGCGTCGGGGCGAGGGCGCGGGGCTGTGCATAATCGGCCTGTGATCGGCGCCGCTCCCGCCCCCGGAGCTCTGAAGGGCGTCTCCTCCGCGGCCGCCCATTGTCACCGCTCACTCGAGGCCGCCCTCATAAGCCCGAAGGAAGGCGGCTCGAGGCGTGTTTGGTGTCTCGTCAACAATGATTTGGAGGGGTGGGGGGGAGGGGGGGGGGAGGGTGGGAGGGAGGTGTGTAGGGGTGGAGGGGGGGAGGGGGGGAGGGTGGAGGGGTGTGGAGGGGGAGGGGGTGGAGGGAGAGGGAGGGGAGGGAAGGGGTGGAGGGCGAGGTGGAGGGATGTGTGGAGGGGGGGGTGAGAGGGAGGGTAGGTTAGAAGGGCGGAAGGGTGGAGAGGCGTGGATGGAAGGTAGGTTGGAGGGGCGTGGAGAAGGTGGAGGGAGGGTTGGTGGGGAGGTGGCCGGGGACAGGGTCAGGTGGAGGACGGGATGGAGGTGCGAAGAGAACGCGAGGTTATCTGTGGAGTTTGAGGAATATTGAGAGGTGGATGGAGATGCGAGAAGAGGTGGACGAGGGTGTAGAGGAGATGAGGAAGGAGAAGTGCGAACGAGAGAAACGTAGGCGTTAGCAAATGATGATTATTAGGTCGTTGAGTGGTTTCGAACGCGGTCACGCTACTCGAACGGCTCTCCCGCGTTCGTGGATTCAACCGCATCCGAATCCGTGATTTGTATACCCACGTTCTTTCTGACATACAATCCGCATTCACAAATACAATGAGCACAATCGAACCAACAAAAAATAAATAAAAAGACGCCGACAAAAACACAAGGAACTTATCAAAACAAAACAAAACAAAAAAGTACATTTACGCGGGAACAACACACGGCGCCTTCGCTCGCCGCCTCTCGCTCTTCATTTTTTTTTTAAGTCTCTCGCCTTAACCACAATGAATAAAACATGAATAGCATCGGAAACCAATAGGTGAGCAATAGAGAGATTCATCCTAAAGAGATTCATCGTCGGAATATATTTTATCTCACATGAGGGGGATGATGTAAAAAGAAATACTTATCATTGTTGTTTTTTCTCTTTTTTTTTTTGGCGGGAAAAACATCATGATGTAAAAATAAATATTTATCGTTGTTTTTTTGGCGGGAAAATCATCATCATTCGGTTTTGTATGATTTAGTTATATTTGATATTGATCATTGTTGTTTTTCTCCTTTTTGGGCGGGAAAACATAATGATGTAAAAAGAAATATTTATCATTGTTTTTGTTTTTTTCTTTTTCTTCTTTGGCGGGAAAAACATCATCATTCGGTGTTGTATGATTTAGTTATATTTGACAGATTTTTTAACACAAAGAAACAATGGTATATGGATATGATGAGTCGAATAAGCTATTTCTTTTTTTATTTTTCTTCTTTCCTCCTTCTCTTCCCCATTACTCTCCCCTCGCTTCTGTCCTCTCTCAAACACCCACAGCAAAATCTGTGTACATTCTATATAGGAAAAAATATATATAAATAGATCACCCTAGAATCTGTCTCACATCATTCACGATCACTTTCATCATCCTTAATTTTATCATTATTATCATCATCAATATCGTCATCCTTGATTTTATCATCATTATTGTCATCATTATCATCATCATACTTAATTTTATCATCATAATTACCATCATTATCGTCATTATCATCATCCTTAATCTTATCGTCATTATTACCATCACTATCATCATCCTCATCATTTCCCAATCCACGCCCTCATCCTCTCATTACCGAAATCACCCCATTACCACTACCCCCCACCCACCATCCCCTCTCACCCTCTCTCTCACCCCCCAACTAACCCCCCTCCCTCCTCCTTGCAGCCGGACCATATTCACTTCCCCGACACCCCCACCATCCCCTCTCCACCCCTCTCTCACCCCCAACTAACCCCTCCCCTCTCTTCTTGCAGACCATATTCACCCCCCACACCCCCCACCAACCTCCTTCTCTTCTCCTTTGCAGCCGGACCATATTCACTTCCCCCGACACCCCCACCATCCCCTCTCACACCCTCTCTCTCACCCCCAACTAACCCCCCCTCTCTTCTTGCAGCCCCATATTCACCCCCCACCACCCCCACCCCCCCTCCCCTCCCTTCTTCTCCTTGCAGCCGGACCATATTCACCCCCCCGACACCCCCACCATCCCCTCCTCACGCCCTCTCTCTCTCACCCCCAACTAACCCCCCTCCCTCTTCTCTTCTTGCAGCCGGACCATATTCACTTCCCCCGACACCCCCACACCCCCACCATCCCCTCTCACCCCTCTCTCACCCCACCCCCACCATCACCCCCCGCATTCTCTCCCTCTCTCAACTAAACCCCCCCTCTTCTCCTCTTGCAGCCGACCATATTCACTTCCCCCCAACACCCCCACCACCCCCTCTCACCCGCCCCTCCCTCTCTTCTCTTCCTTACAGCCGGACCATATCCACACCCCACCACTCTCACCCCCCTCTCTCACCCCCAACTAACCCCCCCCCTCTTTCTTCTTGCACCGGACCATATTCAGCTAACCCCCCTTCTCTTCTCTTCTTCTTCCTTCCCTCTCTTCGCCATTCATATTCACTTCCCCCCAATCAGCTGGGACACCTCAGCCTTGCAGCCGGTCCACTTCTTAGCCGGTAACCCCCCTCTCTTCCCCCTTACAGCCGGACCATTCACTTCCCCCTACACCCCCCATCCCCACCATCCCCTCTCACCCCCTCTCTCCCCCCACTAACCCCCCTCTCTCACCCCCAACTAAACCCCCCCTCCTCATCCTAGCAGCCGGACCATATTCACCCCCCCATCCCCTCCACCCCCCCTCTCACCCCCAACTAACCCCCCCCCCCTCTCTCTCTTCTTGCAGCCGGACCATATTCACTTCCTTCAGCTGGAGAACTCGAGAAAAGCCTTCAAGGAATCCCACTATCCGGACGTTTACGCGAGAGAAATGCTGTCCCTCAAGACCGACCTTCCGAAGACCGGATACAGGTGAGTGGGTGGCCGGATAAGG